AGAAGACATAGAAGATCGTAAGCGCTTCATCTTGGTTGAGTTGGCCTTGAACCTTGTGTACTTATAGATAACAGAATCAGAAGCATGATGCCTGGCAGGTCCGATACCTTACGGTACGTGACGCGACACCTTTGTTCTACCGTGTACTTTACTCCCGCACTGGGCCGAGTCGATAATCTTGAATTCCAAGGTTTGCAATCAAGTTTCCTGCAGCCGAGATTCAAGTTGCGCTGAGAAATGAGTCTGAGAAGAGGGAAATAAATGAATGAAACGTCGGAGCTACGGTCAAACTCCGCTCGGTAGTAACCGCACCTAGTACCACTCCCTTTACATATACTTACCCTTACAGGATGATAGTCTCAAAGTTGACTTATCTAGGTATGTTTTAGGCGGATTTATCAAACTAATCCGAATAGAACCATAATACGACGGTCACCATCATGCAGTCGATTCTCGAACAAACTCGATACAACAATGCATGCCTCCCCGCCCTAGGCAGAAGATCCTGCATGCATATTCCCAGACGATAGAAAATTATTGGTGGTGCCATCGATGGAATGGCTACCCGGAGTGCAACGTGGTTTGGAGAACTCATAGTAACTATGACTATATGGGCATATCTGGACCTATCTTGGTCATTTGAATGTGATATGGCATACTATCAAGACCGGGGCATTTGGTGGATGTCAGTCGTGGTTAATATCATGCAATGTTATCTAAGCTTGTAAGATGCTAATCAATAATAAATAAATAATGAATATTTAAGATTTGATTCCAAAACGTACAGGCATGATTGTTCATCATGTTCATCGTCTCCAAGAATTATCTACAGGTTCCTCAATCCAGACACATGTACAGAAAATCTAAACTAGTTCCTAGCGTATAAGGCTACATGAGACATCCAAAAACCACTTAGCAACAAAATATTCAAGATACAGTCTTCTTCTATTTAGTACATAGATCCAGCGAAAAGACTTTCTGTATTTTCTTGATGCTTTCTGGGTCACCCATATGCTAGATTTATGTATATCAATTTAATATCAAAGCGAAGTTTAATGAGATGTGATTTTTCTTACCTTTCCCTGCTCATCGCTTAGTTTAACACAGGGTTCCCCATCCACGGATGCAATCTTAATTACGATATTCAGCGCCTTACTCTTCTCTGTTCCGCCTGAAGATTTCTTCTTGAAATCATTGGTGAAATTCGTGCCAATACCAAACGAACCTACAAAATATGAGCATTCATGAAGTTCAGCAAACAATTTCACCTACATTTTAATCCTAGATCATCACACTGTTCCTTAAGCTTCTTGGCAAGGTCGACATTAAGGTTATCGGAGAATACAATGAAATGATCCTTAGGCTCAACTCCTAGACTTTGATACATCTGCTTAGCGCGTGGTGCGTAGGCAAATGGATCGCCGCTATCTTGACGGATCCCGGACCAGAGACGAGCTCGATCGGCTGTAAAATCCTGAAAGAATATTGATAATGCAATGAGATCGCGTCAAATTTTTACATATCGGATAATTCACCTTGAAGAATGCTTCCGTAGTAAACGTATCAGTAAGTGCAATCAGGATGGAGTTTCCGTAGACTTCATGCCAGAGATCAAGAGCTTTGGCATTAGCGTTTTCATAACCTAGTGATGCACCGATGGCCATAAACCATTCGCTATTTACGAATCAATAAGCGGATTATCTTTCCGAAATAAAGCATGCTTACTGTGCGATAGTACCGCTGGGCTTCAAATCATGCTTATAAGCAAGGTAAACCTGTTAACGGAGTTTGGTTAATATTATATAGAATATGTCACAAACGAAATCTGAGTTACGTTGCTTGTTCCAACTAGGCTACCAGGTTTATCGGCGGCATCTTGCATAGCCCTCTTCAAACCCATTATTACCAGATCATGTGCGTGATGGGACCGCCTTCGACGCGTTCCAAACTCTGAGAACAAGATTCCAGAGGATAGGAGCTCTATTCCTTTCTGATAAGCTTGTTCTAATAATAAGACAAGATTAGCTCGCCGACAAATGGACTGATAAAAATAGTTCTACCTTCTTGACCTTCATAATCCCAATCACGGTCGACGATTTTGAAGTATGATTCGCTTAGTAAACTCATCAAGGGTACTTCCCAGAGAATTGTCTCTACCCATGGGCCAGTAATATCCAATTCTAATTCACCAACATTAGGATCTTCAGGGGAAGGGACGAAGTTTATGGTCACTTGGTCGGGATTGAAGCGGTATTCAGAAAGATACTCCAGGTATTGAGGCTTGAAGAATGGACAGACACTGTGAAGCCATTCTTTTTCCGAAGAATCGAGTTTCAGATTGGCCATTTCTAGGTAAATCGATAAATATCGAGTCAGATTTGATAGCGGCAGAGCATATGAAAAGAGATAAACTGATCGAGACATGGTAAATAGAGAATGGATAGGTATCACTTCTCATAATACTTTAATAAATCCCAGAGCGAATGGAGAATAATTCAAACAAGCCGGCGACGTACCGGAAACGGCTTTCTTAAAAACTTCTATACATTCCCTTGTAAATTTCATTTGGAGAGACCGATTTTTAAACCGATAAGAACATTGTATCTCTGGAAATTTCTCCAGCACTGCCTGCTGCATCGTGAACTGTATTTAAGGCGAAAATCGCGAATTAGGCATGACCATATCTAGCAAACGGAGTCGATAGACACACCTTGTACAAATCCGTATCCAAGATGGAGACAGGGTGAACATCTGTCGTAGAACTCATATTGCTAGGAGTCGAAGGAGGAGAGAGAATGGGGTTGAGAGTGGCTATGACAGGGATTTTTATACCGGAGATGCTATACTTGTACTTGAAGCTTGACCTCCATTTGAAAGTGACACCGATGTCATCCCTGCCTTTTCAAGCATATGTCACATAGCGTGACAGACGCACAACCAACTGAACTTGTTCCTTCCTTCACACTATTTGGCTACTATTCAACCAAAACCATTGATATTCATACATTATCACGCTTTATATATCGGGAGATAACGTCTAACACATTTATATAATTCGGAAATACTTAGTCATGGTGCGTCTTCGGTTGGCTGTGCGTTTGCCAGACATTCATATCATCGTACAGGGTTCTAGGGTAGAAATTCTCAACGAGGGAGGCTATAGATCCGACGGGCGCAAGCAATTCGAGTTACGGAACTTCGCTATAGACCTTTCAAGTTCCAGTTCTAATGCTGATGGCTCTTCGGTCGTGTCTCATGGTCTGACAACCGTGATGGCCACTGTGTTTGGTCCGAGGGAAGCCAGAATGAGGAGTTTGACCATGCACGATAGGGCGGTTATTAATGTGGAGGTCGGAATTGCGCCATTTAGCTCAGGCGAGAGAAGAAGGAGGGGACGAGGTGACAAGTGCGTATCTCCTTTTGTCGCTGTTTCTGCATGCCTCGTTGAATGATTCCATCTTCAGGCGTATCTTAGAGTTCGCAGCTGCTATCAAATCAACTTTTGAGCCAGTTATTCAAACACATATATATCCTCGTTCGCAAATAGACATTTTTGTCCAGGTAATAGAGCAGGATGGTGGTGAGTGTACATCTGCTGCGAGCGTATAGCTCTCGATTGACATCTAGATGCCAGGTATTCTTCAAGCAGCAATAAACGCCACAACTCTTGCCCTTATCGATGCTGGCATACCTATGTCTGATTATGTTACTGCTATAACATGTGGCGTTCAAGCAACACATCCATTACTGGACTTGTCGTCCATAGAGGAATCCGACGTTCCCCATTTGACCCTTGCTGTCATGCCGAAGTCCGGAAAGGTTACACTAGTAACAATGGAGACGAGATTACATGTTGACCGGTGGGTTTCCTGCAACAATGAAATATCCGTTGAAGGATCGCTGACTTTTTACGCTGACTTTTTACTAGGTTTGAAGAGCTCGTCCGACTAGCGTTGAAAGCGTCTACGGTTTTACACACAGAAATGCGAGCTGCTATCCGAACGCATACCGGAGATTTGGTGCGAGCCATGGGTGGTACCGGAGTTTCACGGATGGCAGGACGAGAAGCTGCTCCAGGTGGTGAAGATGTTGGTGATACAATGGAAGAATAAAAGGCATCATGTGCGATTACTGTGTGTTTTGCATGGTAAGTTTAGGGTTCCAATTGCTTTTTTTTGGCCGTCCTTCCTTAATAGTCATCTAGATCCTCCTCTTTACCGAGGGAAGCTGCTATAAATGATAGATGACGCGAAAGTCTCCGGTGGATCTTATTTCCATTGATTTCGGCAGCAGCTGTTTTTCTCCATGGACTGAGCGCCGTATCTGAGGATGATCATGGGCAGCAGGCTGGCTTGCTGATCCAGAATGCGAGCTTTCAGGATATATTGTAATCTACTTTATGCAGCCGGTAAGACGTGTTCTCAGATATACTGTGTCCTCTGAAGCTGGGAAAAGAGTGGTATATTTATCTAACGTGACTCGAAATTGGAAAGCCTACGATCTCGACCCTTCAAAACCATGGGATATTCATTACTTCCGATTACAATGGACCAATTTCGAATTGGTATAACGAAATTGGTTAGATAACGCTCTTCCAGGTCACATTTCGTGCCCACAAGTGCCTGACATCTAAAAAATCGGAGCGATTACAGAAAAGAAATCGGAAACCGTTACAGTCACGTCGCGTCACGCCCAGTGCTCCTCTGCAATATTCATAAATTCCCTTCGAAATTCTAAGTGATCTCGAATTCATTTCTTTCAAATCAGATTATCACTGATTATGCTTAATTACAGTTCGTTATCAAGCTCGAGTTCAAGTAGTGCTTGTCTTAATTATCTGCTTGTCTCCGCGAGTTTCGATTACAATTCCGTCATAAGTATGTAACTATTGCGTCAGTGAGATGGACCACTACAGTGAGTAACTTTTATTGATTCATCTATCATCCATTAATATTAAAGTTATCGATCTAGTCATAGCACCATCATATATCTTGTACTAAGAGTATGTGGTTTAGTGGTATAACATTCGCTTGGCACTCGTAGCTTGCGAAAGGGTCCGGCGTTCAATTTGCCGCTTGTCCAAAGCTCAGTTTTTTTAATGCTATTTTACTTCATCTTGAACTTTCCAAGGAGTGATTCCCCCGCAATATTAATCGGGATTCCAGCACTTCGGTACTTATAACTGGGTTCGTCTCCAGTCAGATCTTCGTCTTTTTCCTTGTTGCTTAGAAGATTTAAAGTTCGATATATAGAACTGGAAAGATTGAGTAAGTATCTGATTGGCCTGTTGGCCTAGTGCCTCCATTAATACTAGCAAACACTTGCGTCTGTGGACATCCTACTAGTACTACTAATAATATCGATTGGTTGCTCCCAGACGTATGCGACCGGATTCTACAATTCTACCAGGAATACAATATATATGGACACATCTTAGAGACTGAATGCGTCCACCAACGTTTCCCTGAAGAAGGCGAGCTCCACATCATATAATATCTTAAAGGCGGCAGAGTCGATTGCCTGAAATGTAGTGAAATATACTTTTCCACCACTATCCTTCACAGCTTGAACAATCAGTTCAGCCTGATTGTACGAAGGATGAGATCTGTAATGGGTAATCTGTCAATGAAGAGACGCCCCACCCACCAACTGCTTTAATTCATATTATTTTATAATGATAAAAATGAATTACCTGCAATGGCCGCTTTATTTTGTTAGCATGCAATACAGGAGACCGTTCCTTGTATGCTTCAGGTATCTCTTCAGGTGTTCCACCCATCAATCTTCCAATATAATGCCTGGAAAACTTCATATGTCATATTAGAGATATTGGAACTACTGTCTCCAAGGAATAAATACCTTGTCCGGACCGGGTACAAGTTTGGCAGGATCAGCTACTGGGAAATGCGCAGCAGCAGCAGCGAAAGCAGTTGGGTGCATTGTAAAGGTCTGTAATTCAGGCAGAGTTCCTATATATATATTAATCAAATATCAATTGGACCAGAAGAAAATCCACGAACCTCCGGAGCTCGAACGAAGAGCTATCCGTTGGCGATCAAAAAACCCAAATGAGCCAACATAGTCAGCCAATTCCACGATATCCTCCACATCTATAATACCATATCTTCCGTCCAGTAGTTTTCTAAATATGATTAGATCATATATGTCATCAAGGCCATGGTCAACCTACCGATATTCTTTTCCAAACCCTGAAGAACCACTGTATTCTACATCCAACCTAGCGATGTTCAATATCTAAGAAACAAACAAACAAAACTATGCTCACCATGCAAACCCGCGACTAGTGTAGTATTGGCGGTACCATGTAAAGCCCAACGAACTGTAATATGTAGGTCCAGAATGCAGAGATAGAATGCATGGAGGCGTTTCGGTAGCCAAAGGGATATAATCCGGATGTTTTGGTGGATAGAAATTAGCATATGTCAGTTGACCGTTTGTTTTCTTGACGGTTATAGATGTTCCATGAGACACATACGCCTCGTCTAAAGGAGATGGGTCTACCGAGAAAAGGACGTCGAGAGTGGGTTCCGTCCAGCGACTCTCATCGAAATTGGCATGGATTATCTGTGCATCGGTTTTGGCAGTTGTAGCAATGAAAACCACGCTAGAATCAGTTACACGCCTCAAACGGAAGATTGTGACAAAGGGATTCGGGATAGGCTGAAGGACCCCAGTGTATAGATTGAGAATGTTTAGAGCGCAGACTCCACGTGTAATAGTAGTACATATGCAAATACCGTCTTGCAGAAAAGCAAAGTATGAGTCGTCCAACCACCACACAGGAAGTCCGAAGTCGCCTTCAATAGAATGAGGTCTGCGCAGGACAGGGCGCGCCTCCGCAGCTTCCGAGGACCAAAGCCAAGGTTCACATAAACCGTCCTTATCCCAGGTAAACAGAAGCGTCGAAGAATTCTGCTCTATATTTGGGAGCCAATGTGCCTGGAAAACGGCATCTGTATTGGGGGTTCCAGCTATAAACGTGGATTTCTGAGCCTGTAAGCAACGTGGCGAGTTGGACTGCAATTGTCCGTCTTTATATATATTTCAGCAACAAATAGCTGCGCGCCATGCCATTGCATATTCGGATAATCCCATTGGATCCAAGCTAGCTTTGACCCATCCAGACTAAACGCTGGGTTGACGTAGAAATCAGAACCAGAGACGAGCGTTGTCAATGTCTGCGTTTCTGTGTTGATACAGGCCAAGGAAGTCACGGCTTCAGGTTTACAGCTATGGTCTTCCATGATGCAGACAATGAGTTCAGAATACCGTGGATGGATACAAATATGGGCGAAACGAAAATTATTTGAGTCTTGAACAGTGTTAGCGTTGTGTGTAAACTTCATATTGACCGGCTTACCAGGTGAGACGAGAACAGTCTCTCCTTCAGGAATAAGTTTCCGGTATATTCGATTATCCTCCGAATTATTGAAGTATAATAAGCCATTGGAAATAGTAGCTGCAGCTCGTCCATAGCTATTCACGACAGTTCTGCCAGAGTCGAAGATAAGTATGATTCAAGTATACGAACTAGCACCTACTTCACGTTATAAGGATCTCCTACTATTTCTCTGCCTGATGTAGATTCTTTGATTACACTTCGACCAGCCTTGATACCTTCATTGCTGATATGATATATAACAGAATTTGCGGCATCCACTAGAGTGTCGTCCAGAGTCACCACCTGGTGCATGTGATGGTTTCTTTTCAAATTTTAGTCTATGATTCACGATGTATACTTACCTGGAGATTTATTCTTTCCGAGGTAATAGGACTTGGCCAAGTTCCACAGGCCTTCGATTGAAGTACGACTATAGTCTGTTGAACAAGTCGACAAAATTTTCGCTACTAAACTTATAAGTTACAATTAATGTCGTCTGAGAAATACTTAATTCCCATGAGGCAAGCTCTGCCTCAAATTAGAACAAGACATATTTCAAATCACGCCTGGGAAGACGGATTCTAGCAAAGATTCACATGAGCTTCCTTGACAAATCTGTCCGTGCGAACGAGAGCTATATGTAGCTCCACGTACGGTACATCATTTTCAGGGTACACCCATAAGAAATTTATCTATCAGTTGAGACTCCGCGATGTAGGTGGCCATCAGCTTACTTTAGTCGCCGTATGCACAGGCATGCCTCGGGCAGAAGTTATCATGTTCTGCCCGATGAGAGACAATATTTGGCTAGGTACGCTGTGTAGCAGTATGGCCCTAATTGAATGGAAAAAAAAACTGATCTGGGAAAAGTAATCAGGTTCTTTATGAGAGCGTTTCTTCGTCCGGCAAGGGATTCGGAGTTGACTCTTGAAATTAATTACTTATGGAAAGTGCCCAAAGGTAATACGAGCTTCCCATGCTTGTATCCATACGAGTGCTTTCCGGCTAGCAGAAATTCTTTTCGGAATTCGATTGAAGTAAAACCCTGGTAGTCGAGAAGGCGGGGGCGGGACGTTTAGAGAATAGCTGGAAAACTATTCTCACCTTTCACATCTTCAGGCTGGATCTAGCTTTGGTTGATATTCTCAGGTGAGGATGCGAAGAATGAAGTGAAAGCCTGCAGCAAGAGATCCTACGGAGCTGACACGCCCGGACAAAGGTAAGCGCCAGCACCCTGGTTACTCCTGTCTTTACACATGCTGTGTGGAAGAAGGATTGAACAATTACATAGCTGACTCAGAAACCGCTCGAACATGGAAACTTGAATCGAGAAGATGACATGTACAAGTATTTAAAGAGTATGTACAGGAGTAAAGAATCACCAACACTACTAGAATGGCTAATGCTGCCGTTTCTAATGAGCTACTCCACATCCTCAGCAGCGGTACCGTATTAGAAGGGCTTGCATTCGGTACACATTTCTTCATACAGTATAAGCAATAGAATGCTATGCCAATTCGTAACATTAACCCTGCTCTAGGCATTTATATTCCTTGCTTTCTCTTCACCACGGGACTCCTGTGTAAAGTCTAACTCAAGTTTCATGTCCAATGTACTAATCATTCTTAGTGAGGCGACTGACCACCGGACGACATGCACGACTGGATATCATGTGGAAATTATTGATCGTCTTTCTATCCTTCGCATGTGCCACGACTCATATTGGATTGGCATGGTGGTACTTTGTGAAAACAACTGAAGAATTTGGGGGATCATCAAGTTATCTGACGCAATTCGAGACGAGTCAGCCGTTATTCTATGTTGTTGCTGGATCCCTCGTGTTCTTGGGGGATACGGTAATGGCAGATTTGGTCGCGGTATGATTCATTTCCGTGCACCCTCTATTCATTATACTGACTCTTCTATAGTCATGGAGATGTTATGTGCTTTTGGAGAAACGACTTCTATTCATCATTCCGCTTGTCCTGGCAACTATAGCTGGAGGCAGTAAGTTATTCAAGTATCTGGTGTTTCTGGGTTTCCATTCTGATCATTCTGCTGCAGTTCTGAACCTGATGGCTTTGAGCGCTCGCATCGATAACGTTAAGAATCCAACCCGATTCAGGATATCAAAAAGGTTCATTGCTTTCTCTACACCATACCTTAGTCTATCCTTGGGCGCTACACTCTATAACAGCCTGCTTATCTCGCTGCGTCTATTGACCTTGACGAACAATGGGTTAAAGAGTACAAAACTGTACAAAATAACCAAGAAACAAGGCGTAATAATTGTGGAATCTCTTCTCATCTATTCGATTCCGTATATAATCATCGTCGCCTATTTAACACAAGGCTCATTCTTTTATGTCTATGCTCAAAATGTTTTGCCTCATGCTGCTGTGAGTTCTTGGCCACTTAGTAGAGATGAAACCAACCCTGATGATCTCTCCGAACCTAGGGTTTGGCTTCCACCTTGGTAATTCTGCGAACCACCATGCTTGATGAAAATCTTCCCGATGCGCCTCTTGCTGGTAATATTTATCATGACACCGCAGAGGTAGAAGCAGTCAGGGATTTCTCGCTTGAAAAAAAGCACTCACTTTAAATGTTGATGACGACCTTGTCCCACTGGTATTTCAATCCCCAAACTACTTGTGCTGTCTCCATGTGTTATGTATTG